CAAAACGTCGTCCAGCTCAAACATGTAGACATTCCCATCCGGCAACGATTAGTTCCTGGTAGGCCTGTACTGCTCTTCCTGTTTTCGTGTATGGCTTTTTTCAGAGTGTTTCCAGAGGGGGATGTAATTTTGTTAGGCATTGAGCTGAAGTGCTACAGAAACGAAGGAGCACTCAACCACAATGGGAAATAATGGGTCAGAAGGATTTTACTCAGGATCTCATGTGTAAGGTGATATTTTACGGTGCAAACTGTCTTTCATCCTTTAGATTTAGTAGTAAGGTGATATTTTACGATGCAGTCTGTGTTTCATCCCTTAGCTGTAAACACAAACCGAACTATGCAAATATGACAAAGGAAAGCGAGGAAACAAACGCCAGGATGATTAGCAGCAGTAACAACAGCAACGGAGTGACCATCGAGTGACCGTGATGCAGCACCGGTCAAAACAGAGCCTTCAGGAAAAAATGCCAGTTACGTTACGATCGTAAAATCGGCGCCACAGTGTGGTAAGTGTTATCAAGATAAGCATCTATATAAAAGCTGCTTAATGACGGCTATATATAAAAGCTTCATTTTTTTTTTTTTTTTTCGCGTAGATTTTGAGCTCCAAAAAACTTTCTGCGTTTATTCGTTTACAAAATTTACTTGTAGAGGCAGAACTGTGCATTTTTCATAAATTTAGAGATATAATAATTGTGTATTTCGCATAATCGATGCCTGTATTTTGTGCATAATGTATGTATTTTACATGTGTTGCCAGCAATCTGCTCACCATTTGTTTTTGTGTGTTGCTCGGAGCAGATTCGGATTATCATCTACCCGAAATTTATTTTTTTTCATTATATGTATGAAACATACAGTTAGGGGATTTTTGCATGTGAATTTCGAGATTTTTCCGTTTAAAATATGTAATTACTGGACGTATTTTCCATATTTTTTTCTGTACATTTCCACTGTATGACTAGTAATTCCTATGCCTGCCATCCTAATATTCCGTATTTTTACGCCATGCGTTTTGGCACAACTAGATTTGTGATTTCACGGTTTCAAACTTTTAAATACGTGATCAAATTGCGTATTTTACGTGTATTCAGGATGTATGTATCATTTTTTGGGACTGCGCCTATTGCGACGAATTTGTGTGTTTGGACGAGAAGCCGAGGACACGTTCAGTGGAAAGGGGGAGTGCAGGAAGGCCAGGGATGTTCCTGGATTGAAAAGAACCGGAGAAGAAGCCTGACCTGACGAATTGTGGCCTTATTTGCCACGGATGATCCCGTCTCCCCCCTCCCTCTCCCTCTTCATCCCTCACCTGGCTGCCATATCCTCCTCCCTTTTCCCTGCTATGGATACCATTTCCCTTATTCGTTCGATTTCTCCTTTATGTCGTTGCTTCCGGCTGAACTTCGTTTTCATCAGTTTTGATTTTTGCAAAAATTTTATTTTCATGCGAAACTGGTATCCCAGGATTCCTCTGCAGCTGTTAAATTTTATTACAATTCTGGAAAACCGCTTAAAAAGATGAATTACATGACTGATTTTTGCAGCTTTCCTAGCTTTTCAGATTGCACAAGAAATGTTTCGAACTAAGGGAATATACAAGAGGAACGAAGTTTCAAAAGATACGTCCTAGTGAAAATTGTCCCAAAAATTTTCTTTTGCTAAATGAAACGAACATGCTGCTAAGCAGAATCAGAGGGGTCGGGGATAATTTGACGGGGCTTGAGGATGCATCAAAAGAAAAATCAGCGCAGCTTCGGATCCGTATATTTACTGGCCCCTTGTTTTACCTTGATAATCATAGAATGAAAATCCCTTGCAATGAATTTTTCACCTCTCAGCTTGCATTTTGGTGTCAGTTTTTCTTGGAATTTCTGAACTAAATGTTCAGGTTTGAAGTCCAAAAAATCTACAGTTTCGTTATATTCGTGCATTTTCGTCGCAAAGCTAAAATTTTGCGAATTTTGAGAAAACGCTTCTCGAAACATGAACTGATTTCAGGGCGTGCTGCCACCAGGAGTACCACTATTATGTAGAAAGTGCTCGGATTAAATATTCATTCTACTAACACTAATTTAGCTTACTGCATAGCTCTTCTACTAATATATATTCATATTTGCTGCAATGGCGGCAGCTGTAGCACTAAATGTTTGCCCGGAATGCGTCGTCTACAGGCAGCAGCTGGAAGCCAAGGAAGCTGAAATCACGGTAACTGAACTTGCAGATAACCTGTTCCTTTCTTTATCTTGTAAAATTTCTAAACTTAACGTTTTACACATACACATGTGAAGGTCAAAAAAATTCGGTGGTGTATTCTGAACAATGAAAAATCGTGGAACCTGCAGCTGTGTTCTTGTTGATCTAACAATGGATTTGAAATCGGAATTGGACATACGGAAGACAGAAAATTCACCCAAATTGGGGCAAAATTTATCTCCAAAAGCGCAGAGTGTGCGCAAAAAAACATCGGGTTAATATAAACTAGGCACTAAAATCTCATATCTCACTCAGGTCTTTGAATGTTTCTTTCAGGAGTAAAAGTAACCGAGGTTGAAGTATACCAGTGCTCCTAACTTCTCTCATTAAATTACAGATTCTTACGCAAAAACTGAAAGCAAAACAGTAGCATACACATAACGAGAGGAAAACGAAATATAAAGGAGGTGCAGTATTCCTGGATAAGGTGATTTAGACAATGCATCGGGTCGACTTTATCCTGCCGTTTGTCTTCCTTTCCGGAAACTGGATGCAGCATTAACCCTA